TTTTTTCACGTATAGTTTTAGGAGTCTGGCTTTTACCACATCAGTGACGCTACATGTAATGATAAAAAATACTAAAGAATAAACTGACACGTCAAAATCAGAGTTTTTTATAATTATATTTTGCGCAACGTTTCGGGAAAACGCCCTTCGTCAGGCAGTATAGACTGTGTTACAATGAAATTAAGCTCATAAAGAAAACGAACGAGAGGCAAAATAAATACTCTGATTTGTTGTTTCTTCACAAATTGTAAGTATAATTACTTCTCTTCGTAAACTATGTGCTTCTAAATAAAAATACAAAAGCATATTTACAGGAAACCAGCTGAAACCAAACCTCTTTATTGTGGTTTTAAAGGAAGGGCACTAGATCAAGAGAGTGTATATGATGCCCGATCTTTATTAAACAAAAACGAACAACATCTTCAATTGATGAAAATCGTGCATTCTCATGCCAAGTTTTTATTCTAAAAACCTATAAAGCAGAAGTTGTATTTGTGAAAAGTACTGCCCATACAGATACGCAGGTTGCCACGTGCGTCATTTGAATACTCGATTGCAGGCGTAGTACCTGTATAACTCCCCTCTTTTAGATGGTTCCTTACAGGAAGTCAACAAACTGTCATTTTTTTTTGTTTCTTCTTGTTTTGTTTTTTGTCGATGTTTTTATAAATATAGTATACAGAACAATTTCAGTTACGATCCAACAGATGGAGTCGCGAATATTTTCTAGCTCACCATGAAACGTACTGGTGTATATATACTATGCATCAATTAATTAAACTAAAACAGGAAACAATATATTTTTCTGTTTGTCTGTTTCAGTGGGTTTTGTTGACAATCAAATTAGTTTATAACAATGTTTTATTTATTTGTAACGTTTACTTTTATACTCAACAGTAGCAAACATTAAAGACGCTAGAAAAAGTTTGTTCAATTGTAGTTAAGTATAAAGGTACACAATAGGCTGTCTGTGCTCTGCCAACTGCGGGTATCGAAACCTGAATTTAAACGTATCAGCCTTTAGATTTATCATTGAGCCACTGGAGGGCCAGCTAAAAGTAAATTACCAGGATGTATAGAAATAAAACTTTAAAATTTGCATGAGCAAAACAAACAAACAAACAAAAAAAAACAGAATAAGCGTGAGTACAATTTTGTTTGTCGTTTTTTTTTTAATGAAATATGAATTTACTCTATCTTGTAACAAAACAAGGACAGGCTATTAGTTTAGTTATAACATGCAGACTAAACTGGTAAAAGAATGCAACTACAAAGAATGAATCAAAGTGGTTTGTTTATTTGAAGTTAAACACAAAGCTATAGAATGGGCTGTCTAAGCTATGCCCACCATAGGTATTGAAACCGATTTTTAGCGTTAGAAGTCCGGAGACATATCGCTGAGCCACTGATGGGCAAATCGAAGTGAGAAAATAAGTATAGTTTTTAACTATGACGATATCAAATTTTATAGAAAGAACTGTATCCGCAGATTTAAATCTAAAGAAACCTCACGAAAATCGCTTAATTTTGGAAAATGAATTTATTAAGTTTTTGCTAGATTTCATGCCCGTACGATTAGAACCAAAGAGATAAGTTCTACCTATTATTTACGCTTATTGTGTGAAATGCATTGATAATTTTATTCATATTTAATATGAAAAGGTATTATGCTTTCTATACAAAAGTAAAAGTCGCTCCTGTGGGACAGCAGATAGACTAATGTGACATTGCTCTAAGGTGAACAAACAAACAAAAGTAAAATAGCTTTTATTTTTTTCCTTTATGTGATTATGCAAGCTACGTAAATTTAAATATAAACGAAAATAAATAATTTTCCTTTTTTATGAGAATAAATAAATTACGCAGATAGTGTTACTAAGGCTCTATAGGTGGATGGTTTTACTAGGCTTTTTGTGTCTTACAAAGGCGGATTGTATTACACGTTGCATGCTGTTATTAAGGTTCTAGAAATGTATCAAAGTTCCGATTAAAATACTGCTTCTATCAGTAGTTAATCATTTATTAAGATATTTAATTTTAAGTGTTACATTTCCAGCTAACCTAACGAGTTCTGAAACTAGGTAAAAGATCTCGTCGGCAGTGGCATGCGTCACAAGGTACATACAGTTCAGATTCTTTTCATTGGAAACCCTTAATAAAGAAATAGTTGTAAAGAAATAATAACAGTTTGATTGCTACCTGTTCAGATATTCCAGTCGTCATACATTTACTATAGATTAAATATATGTTTTATTTTGTGACTCAGTCTACAAGTACTGCAATAAGCTTAGTTTCCCTTGTATACTCTGTATTATTGCAGTGCTTGTCTACATTTTACAAACCCTTGATCACGTACATGAGATGTTGAGGCTGCTGTCAAAAGCGAGTCCCTGAGAACTTTGGTAACACCGTGAGTCTATAAAATCTTAATAATGCCACCACCCTATAGTAACCTTAGTAACAACATCCGCCAACAGAAACTTAGTAGTACTGTCTGAACTTGACAATTTTGTAGGGGTAATCATGTGATAATGTGTTGTGACTTTACCTTGTTTATGTTACTGTAATAGACTTTTTACATTTTTGTAAATCTTATAACAATTTTGTTTATGGTTAAGGCCTAAAAACTAAAACTCTATTATTATCTTATAAAGTAGGAACAATACTAAGTTAATTATGATAAACATGGTATTTGAACAATGGTCTCTAGTGATACATCTAATCATGTTGGTAATTATCTCACATGATTTTTTGTCTTTTAATATTTATATATTTTCCCTAATGAAACCAATTTTGCTAACACTGTCGATGTATATACGTTTTCAAGTACGTCTTCATAAATATAAAACTGTATCTCATATATGCTTTTGTATATTTCTTAAATGTTCATTGTTTTGTCTCTCAAGTTTATCATAAAAAGTTAAGGTAGACACATAATTATCTAACCTTTGATCTTTAGTCAGGCTTTGAGTGTAGTTGTTCAAAATTTGTTACATTTGAGATTGAACACTAATTGTAACTGACAAAATGAATAATAAAATTTGATGTTCTTCATACAAGTATAACAGACAGTACATTGCACAATACTGTAACATTGTTTCAAAATCTATGCGACTATGTGATGTCACTTACCTCTCAATTCTAATAACAAAAAAAAAAGTTTATGTATATTTGTACTCTAAAATCTCAAAGTTTTATGAATTTTAATTATATAGCATGTTTTGTACATCAAGTGAATGCTTTATAGAAAATGGTAAGTATTGATATTTTAAATACTTTCTATAGTAGTAAAGTGATGGGTTAATCAGTAAGTTATTCATTTATTATGTTTAGTTGTAGCAAAATGGTTAGGTTAATTACCTTCAAATAAAAGCAGAAAGAACACCCATATGCTATTAGCTTCAATCAGCAAGCTCTCGACAAAGAGGTAGCAATAGTAATCCTATAAACTTTAGTGATCAAGTTAAAGCTAAGGATGAGATTTAAATAAACGTCCTTTTGAGGATATTATATATTAATTATAGAAATGAATGTGTTTTACATATAAAACATCTGTAAATGTAAAAATATGATTAGATATGGAAGCAAAATTATAATCAATATATTAAGTCATAAAAACACAATTGGCTTTCTCATTCAATATTTATCAAACATTAGATGTGATAAAAACTTTTCAGCACTAAGTTAAATGTATTAGTAACACCATCCTTCTGTAAAAACTAATGTAATATACAAACGAAAACTATAAGCATAGTATGAGACCAAATGAAATCTGTATGCATCCCTACGGAAGTATAGTATCACCATCAACCTTTGTAAAACACACACAATATGTCTAGTAAGAAACATCCGCCTATAGATACACCATCAGCCTTTGTAACACATTTGTATGTGAAAACTATAAAGTAACTGTCATAGGAAAAATAATTAAAATTAGACATCGATGACATATTGAGACACATTTAAAAACAATTTGCCCTTAGTAATACAATGCATATATAGAACTTTAATAACAGCATCCACCTAGTAATACCACACAATCTTAGCAAGACACACAGAATTATACCTAGTAAATCCATCAATCTATAGACCCTCAGTAACAATATCTGCCTGTACAAACATCACCCGTTTTTGTAAAACATATGTAAATTAAAATTATAAACATAACTTGAAATCTATATGCAATCCTATGGGACTATCCACCTTTTTCAGACACACATAATCCACCTAGTAACGCCATCCGCATATATAAACCTTACTAACAACATGTGCCTATAGTAACAGTATCCACCTATAGAACCTTAGTGACACCATCCACTTATATAAATACTACCGTTAGAAACACAATCCAAATGTAAAAACCTTACTAACACTGTTCAGTTACAAAACTTTGGTAATGCCATCCACCTATAGAAACTTAATAACAGCATCCACCTATAGCAACAGGCCCTCTTGTATTGAACTATGATATCACCCCTTCCTAAGATAGCTTATTCTGTGAGGCCACTTCATGGCCCTATCAACAGGCTCTCTGGTAGCCTAGCAACGTGCTACTAGCAACGCGGCCTGTGGTGCCATTTCGTGGCATTATGACATCATACCTCGCCCTTTTTTATCTATTACATTACACTTATGTAACCCTCAGGTATTGGAATATTATTTAATAGTTGCATAACACTCAAGTGTCTGCATATTACCTAACAGTTGCGTAACTACAGGCGGCGACATATTACGTAGTAGTTATGTAACCATCATGCAGTATCCTTTGATCTCCTCTCGGTTGGCGACCCCAATTGAGGCGGAATCCTTTGGCCGCTGGACATTCGCCCTAACTACTCCCAGGGCATTCAGAAATATGAAGACCATCACTCGAAAATTTCATTATATTAGTAAGAAAACTGAGATCAGTCCTCTTCATTTTTCTTACATGAGTGAACGACAACAAATCCATTAAAATTTAGACAACGGTTTTAGCACAGATGGATAAATACTTTACTTACCTTTCATCATTATGGACCGTCTTCATCAGGCTGATGGCGAAGAGGAACTGTATAGAACATACAAAGAGACAACAAAGGTTTAAAGATATGGAGAGAGTGCTCAAGGCTACTGATACTTGGTATACAACAAAAAATTCTCCACCTCCCATTATAATTTTGTTAGGAGAATCACTGTTGAATGATTTTCCATTACTTATGGTTAAAGTCAATGGACTAATCTTTTGTAGAAAAAATAATGCAAGAAAAGACATCAGTAAGGACGGGAGACACAGGAGAGCCAAAGATAATAAAGTTTGATAAATATCGTGATCACTGGACTCTTGACTTTCTAGGTTATTTCTACTAGGAGTCACATTTTGACGACTCATGCTCCTACTTGGATGCCCATGACTACTGGTCATAGTGAAATTAGTCATTCCAGCACATCTGGCAATCCAACAGCCAGACTGGGTTTAAATTCACTCAAAGCACTGAAGTTCGTGTTCGAACGTGAGGTAATCACACTGTTCATCTTTTGAGTGGGCAGAATTGGTGACAATTTCGCGTCCTTACTAACTGATACTGACATGTCATGTTAGAAAATATACGGCTTCTCTAATGGGATTTGCTCTCATGTAATAAGTTCAAATTCCTACATAAATAGTATACAATACTTGAATAAAATAAAATCAACACCTGTATTGTATATCGAAAATAACAGGGTTTTAGGCTTCTTTCATAAATTATAAGGTCTCTTCTACTGACTTAGTCCATAGATTATCCTCTCTTCCTAGATTGCAAAATGAAAATAAAAGTGAAACATAATGTTAAAGAACTCAATTTCAATGTTACTTTGTCTAACTGGCACCAGTATTGTTTTTAATTCCTTAATTACAAATCGTGTAAGTTTCATTCAATTTTACACGCAAATGTTAAAAAGATCAACGAACAATATAACTTAATCACAACTAGTTTTGCACATATCAAAGCCAATCATGTGAGAGGAAAAGAAATAGCACATCTGGCCAAAAGTTCAGAATAGTGTGATAAAGTGAGCTGTGCTCCGAAACAAGCTATCAATATCACCAAACAAAAGGCGTCATCTGTGAAACCAAACATATCGACATTTTTCTCTATCCATAGGTTACTCATGTACGTGACAAATGTAGGAGGAAGGATATCATGAGCTGAAAAATCCCCGTTAAACAGGTCGATATGCATGAAGGTATGTTTCCTGGTGAACAAACAGTTGGGATGAGTTTTTACCTTTAACGACAAGAGGTCACGAGTACTACTTTTATAGAAACCGTTCGTTATTGTTTATTTACCTGTTTTTAGTGTTTAGGTTTCACATCCTGTTTTTTCACTGACAAAAATTATATTCAACTCCTGAGATCACCATAAAACTATAGGACCTCAGTCTAGCAGTTGTTGCATACATAGTTAGTTATGTTACAATATTGGCAGCCACGTGATCTCAAATAACTCTCCACCTTTAACGCTAGAAGTATGTGAAAGGCCACGTTTACAATCTATATTCATTCTAGTCTAGCGTGTTGGGGGAACAGTGCTTCCGGCCTTCACTTCCGGTCTACCTTGTAGGTTTCTTCACACCAGTAGCTGGGACGGTTTGTGATGACCACGTGATAGACTGGATCACGTACGTCGGCAAAGGAAATTATACAATCAACACGTGTCAAATACAGATCCGCTTCATATTTATTTTTTGCTTACTTACATTGGTACAGCGTTAAAATTATGACTAGTGTACATAATTCACAACTTTATATTTTTCTTTGTAAATATTCTTTAACTTAATGGTAGGCTGAATATATTGTAAACAAGGCTGCAACTTTACAATCAAACAGTATTTATTTTTCACGTTTTATTTAGTAATGATAGTTTGCTAAATGCTTTACATGAATCCAGGAAAAAACCCGTTAAGAATGACACTGGTAAAATGGTATCAGAAATAACACGAACTCATAAAAAATTATACCGTACGTCTTTTTCCACTATATATATATATATCAATGTTGTATGCTTATAATGTAACGCTAAAAATAGTTCTTGTGAATGAACATCAGATTAATTCAATAATATAACAAGTAATAATGCATAGAGTTAAAGGGCTTAAATAATATAGTGTAAAATAATCATTACCATAATTCTCATGTGTTATGACATAAATAAAATTGAAAAAAAATTTCTTTTCACCAAATTAATCGTTTATAACCTTCTAGCTCCGTACTTTCGTTAATTCATTGGCCGTAAAGAGGGCGCACCCTCTGATGGCCCGTCAGGCAACACCTTCCTTAACCTGGAATGAAATGGCGTTTAAGAAAATACCGACCATATATGAGTTAATAAAGTTTCCTACTATTTAGATATTTCATTTCGCCGATGAAAGGGGTTGGTCGCCTGTTCCTTTATTGGGACATGAATGAAATAACGAAAAATAGAACTATTCTTATGTATGTTGTATTCTAGCCTGCCTAAAGAACCTTGGTGTATAGCGAAATGTCTCTTCGGCACTGGATACAGTAGATATAGCGTGTTTGACAAACATTATTAACCACTTTTCTTTACATTTACTACTTACTAATTCTATAATTGTAATATGTTTCTGTGATCATTATCTGAGGGATGGGCAGTTAATCGGTTAATTGTACTTCAACTTTTTTGGGCTGTTTTGAATCTGCCATACTGCATGCGTAATCATCAATATATTTACGTAATGCCCTCAAATGTATATGTTTACTACATATTCACTTTATTTTAGTCATAGTTTTTTGACGCACAGTTAAGATACTTACTGTTTTCTGTCTATACATAAACCCTGTACGATTAAGAAGTAGGAAAGCCTAACTTCAAACAGATAGCCTGAGCATTAAAAGGGAAGAAACAGAAGCTGAGGAAATATTTTGAATAAAAGAAACTGGGCGTGATAACGACAGCGTACTGGTTTTCAGATACAGTTCGAGGCGGTCACGTGATTTTTACTAGCTAGACAGAAGATTTCAAGAGAACCTTATAATTTGTGTAACACTGTTCTAATACACTAGCTATACCAGTAGTGTGATAGTGAAAACGCATTGCTTTGCTCTTATTGTTTGAATGGTGTTAACCTATCACGTAGAATACAGCGTGACGCGAATAATTTAAGCAGGGAATTTCATGAAGAACAACAAAAAACGGATGCAAAATCGAAACGACTCTGCAGTACCAACTTAAGTTTATGCAGATTCAGGAAAATGTATTGTTACGTCTCTGGTCGTTAAAAACTCTTTCCGAAGAAACTTTAGCGATACAAGTCTTTTCTTAAATAAAACTGGTTTATTCTTTCTGAATACAACTTTGCAATACACTTAATTTTCACAGTCACGCTATAACAAACGCTATAATTCACAAAGAACGACTCACATACTCGACTCAACAATAGGTCTCTCTCTGTCCGCAGTTCAATTGCACAACCTTGTTGCCGTCGCTTCTTGGCGGCTTATATATATACAACACTACCG